TATGCTTTTGGTTCATATTACTTTATTTTTGGCATGAATAATATTTCTCCTAATTCCAACGGGGACTTTAACAATGACTTGTTTTTATTTATGTGTTACATCTTTATTCAAATTAATGACAATGGTTTGGCAATATAAACCATTACAAACGGTCAAAAAAATTTACAAATGAAAAAAATTGTCTATTTTTTCAAAAAAGACCAAATATGAGTATGTGCTAGTTGACATGTAGGCCCTCAACGAATCAGCGAATCTGCAAAGTTCATGCCTTCTTGCAATGAATATTCATGTTGGTGGTCATGGTAACAAACAAATAAACTGTGCCGTGAATGGTTACTCTTTGATCATTGTCACTATCTGATGTTTCTGCAATTTGATTGGTATCGACAAAAAATCATCAACGGAAGTGAAAAACTACATCGTTCTGTCAGGCGTGTGTTGGGTTTGAAGCACTGCAACTCGAGCAACCTGGTCAAGCAGCTAGTTAAATATGCTTTACAAAATATCATTAAAAGTAAGACAATTAATCACCTGTAATGTTTGTGTAGCAAGGTCTTTGATAGGTATGCGAGTTATTTTAGCCCATAGACATTGAGGCATACCAACATCTCTGGCTCCAAATACTTGGATTTCTCCACTCTGTTAAAATACAATTAATGAAAAAAACAAGATACATAATATTATGAAGCTGATTAAACTCAGATGTAGATGTATCCAAAAGGTACTTTCGCTTTTCGGGAATTCAACAAAATTTTGACATTACTACAATTCTATGACCTTTGTTTGTCTTGTTTTATTTCATGCATAACACATGATTACCTTGATTTGATACCTTTATTGTATTGATCAATACCCCATTGTGAATATGATTTTAATAAAGTAATTATTACATATTCACAAGATATTGCAGTGAACAGAAAATGGGTTTAATTTGTACTTCCTTGGAAACTACAGTTATCAAGTATACAAATAAGCAGCCTTTTTGACTGGAATAGCAATGCTTCATTATAAAATTAACAAATCTGAGAGAGGTCCACCTGTAGTACATATATGTATATCAAAGCAATTTGACTTGTAGTTTTTAACAAAAAGGCAAAAATATCACTTTTTACCAAAAAATGATAAAAATATTCATCAAAACTAGAAAATCAAAGATATCATCACGAAATGAACAAATCTGACAGAAATATACCTGTAGTACCTATATATATCCTATCACAGCAATTACAGAGCAAGTCGAAAATATAACTTTTTACCAAAAATATTCACCAAAATTAGAAAATTAAAAATATCATCATGAAATAAACAAATCTGAGAGGTTTACCCGAGATACATATACACCAAGTATCAAAGCATTCATCAGACATGTAGGTTTTGAGGAAGAAATGTGAATAAACTATCAGCATTTCTAACAACTATAAAAGCTTGTCATGTTAAATTATTTACTCCTGATTTAAAGTATTGTACTACCTTTATGTGTGTAATTTGATTCCGGTTTTGGTTTAACATTTAATTAATAAGTTATAATTGTATTGCATCCTAAGAAATAAAAACGTTTCTATCAGTTAATAGCAATGATTATAAATGAAGAAGAGTTTTTTTTAGCTCCGCTGTCGACTTTGTCGAGCGGAGCTTATCATATGAGTGATTGTCCGTCGTCGTCCGTCGTCCGTGTCAATGTTTTACTTTTTCGACTTCTTCTTGAAAACTACAAGCCTGAATGCTTTGATACTTGGTGTATATGTACCTTGGGTAGACCTCTCTTAGGTTTGTTCATTTCATGTTGATATCTTCAATTCTCTAATTTTGGTGAATATTTTTGTCATTTTTAGTAAAAAGTGATATTTTCGACTTCTTGTTGAAAACCGCAAGTGCAATTGCTTTGATATTACATATATAGGTACTACATGTGGACCTCTCTCAGATTTGTTCATTTTGTAATGATATCTTTAATTCTCTAATTTTGGTGAATATTTTTGACATTTTTGGTAAAAAGTGATATTTTCGACTTCTTGTTAAAAACCGCAAGTGCAATTGCTTTGATATTACATATATAGGTACTACATGTGG